AGTGCGACGACCTGCCCTAGCCGTCGGTAGGTCGTCATGGATCTGTGAATGCCATGGCAGCATGGGTGCACTTGTGTTTGGGGGCAGCATATTGGTCAATCATGCGTAGCTGTACATAGTTACGTTATAGTGGGTCCATGGACAGGTGCTTTCTTTTGGTGTCATGATGTCGTTGCGCTCGGATGTGGTGTCATGTCGTTGTCCCTGACTTGCTGTGACACGGCTGACCAGCGACGGTGGATGCGTGGCTTTAGCTGTCATTTCCGTTTAATATACATGCGCGTTTTATACATTATGCTTTACATATGCGTTTTATAAATTATTATTTACATATGCCTTTTATGTATTACATTTTATACACATATGCAATATATGATATGCAATAGGTGCCTGATGTGTCCAGATTGTCACCCTACAATGAAGCACAGTCGTTTTCTGGTAACCAGAACATTGACATCCAGATAGACGCGATGCATTCAGAGACGGATGATTTGGCTAGCTGTTGTGGCTGCAAGCCTAAGAGCTGCGAGTTGGGCACTGTGGGACACTGACCGCCACAAGGGCTTCTCGTTGTCGCAGGGGTCCAGACCAATGCAATCCTCGGGCTCGGCCTCATCCATGCTTGGGAAGCGGGCTCTCAGGGCTCAGACCGGCACGAAAACAACTGTTCGGTGTTGGTGATGTCTTGCCGAAATGGGGGCCCACATTGCTCTAGGGGTCCCCAATCGGTGGGAGAGACGTTCTGACTGATATTTGAGGTCACGGCGCTACCAGTGGAGGGTTGTAACCTACAGCCAGCACTTCGGCCCTTCTGTCTTCCGTCCAGGCCCTTGAGCTTTGGTCCCAAGGTCTTAGGATCCCCTCGAACACGGCTCTTGACGGCCTCAGGGCACCTTCCCAACGCGGGACCTTATGTCAGGCACTTAGGGACGCTGGGCGACATAGGAACCCCGACTTTGTTGTTGCTTTAGAAATGGGTCTTTAGGCCTAGACTGCCGAGGAGCCGGATGTTTGGTTCTGGTGGTGCCCAACCGACCGATTGCCTCTTATTGACACAGGGGTCCCCTGCAATCGATGCAAAGAGCCCTCTGACTGGTATTTGTAAGCCCAGCCAGCAGCGTCAGGCACCTTAATGCGACCCCCAATCAGACCTTTGGGCACTCAAAACGGGCCCTCAATCGTCGATAGCAAGGGGTCTGAACGAGCCCTTGGGGATCCTAAGGGAGGGGAGCGGGCGTGCTATCTGTGCCGTCGCTATCTGTGCCACGCGGGTATCATTGTGTGAGATTATTCAAGTGGTATGCAGGTTTTACAATTGTGATACTAAAAACTGCAGGGCAAGGCAATCCTCGGGCTCGGCCTCTGATGCCGCTGTTCCCCTTTTGTCCAGTTCCCACGCAACCTATGGTAGGTTTCCGTTGCGACGATGATGCGAGACTGTGAAGCATGGGGAAAAAGCGCATTAGTACCTGTCGACGTGCTGCGACACATACCGATGCATGAACTGTAAACGATTTGATGACGTGGTGTTCATCTGTGATTTACGTGACACCGAAAGTACTGCGCCGAATCACGCCTGCTTGCCGCCAGAGATGAAGGAGGACGTAGGCAACATGCCTTCTACGTCGCCACCACAGATTTGGCGATAAGAAACTGCCACTGTTACTTTCACCAACTATGCTTTAGTGCCAGCAACCATTGGCTGAGAAAAGGCGAAATTTGGAAGGTACTAACCTGCGCTTTATGGCACAGACGCGGCTCTTGTACCTTCGGTGCGGAGCTGGCGCGGAGATGCTGCTATGTTGCATAACGGGTGATTGAAATGGGCCATTCTCTACCGATTTCGGGTCCCGAGATGCAACAGCTTGTCAGTTCGCTGAGAGAAACGAAATAGCTCTGCTGTGTTTCGATCGCACTATACCTAAGTAGGGTGATATGAACTCAGCCAAATCAAGAACTTTGAGTTTGCATTTTCTCAACATGCAAGAAATATACACAAAATTGCCCAAGCTGCAAATATATATGCAAACCAAGAATCTGTGGGCACATCTTAAAGAAACAACAATTAGAAATCATGCTGACATGAAAGGTCAAGGTCAGGACAAAGGCCTGCAGACCCCAATTACATGTTTGCAGGGGACTGGGTCAATTGGAGTGTTTCATTTCCTCAAAAAGTACATACTCTGTCTAAATGAGGATGCCATGTCACCAACATGTAGATGCTGCAATGGGGTTAGGTCAAGGCCATTCCATAGGTTACTGTGATAATCTGCTGTTTTCATGCGATCTATGATTCAAAATATTTTCACGTTGATTTTGATCGCCTTATGCAGCTTCAACGTCAGCTACAGTTTTTTTTTCTAGTCATTACATAGTCAAGATGTAGGTAGGATGTCAAGATGAAAGCATACAAGGCCAACATGACATGCAGTATGCTAGTCTTGTCATGCATGTTTCCAGATTGCTTATTCCACAAATCCAATACAATCACTTATAATCTTGCGTCAGGTCATCTTAGCACCTGAAGAGATCAAAACCTGTCATTTGTGACAACTTACTATGACCTTTGAAAGGCATTTGATAGCCATGTGCAGGCAGGGAAATTGTCAGGGAAAATGTCCAATGTCTATTTGCAGCAGCACAGTCTTGTGATAGTTCTTCTCACTGTAGGGACTGCAGACACCCCTCTTTCCATGCCTCCCCCTTGGTTACCTGTCTCTGACAATTCCATTGCAGGTCCCCGGTATATCTAAGCAAAAAAAGTAGAGGGCTATAGTTATCATCAACTTTCAAGGGAAGAGCTAGCCTTTATGATACCTTTGATATAACTGGACTCACACAGCAAGTTATGAAGCCTGGACTCCGAAGCATGCAATGGAACAGCTACAAAGAATGTTACATCTGATCACTTTCATGGAAATTACATATCCATCACATAACATGCTTATGTGCACTCATATACCTAAGGAAGATGACATGATGATGAAAAATTGACATGACATGGGATTCGGTCCCCAAGACAACCATAATATGGAATCAGATGAGATTGCAACCTAATCCTATACATAAATATTCACAGCATTATGTCTGCTAGCTGTCATTTGTACTGCTCATATTTCATGCTTCAAAATGATTTCAAACAAAAATAAAAAAGAGGCTAGTTATCTGAGCAGTGTCTGGATTAATTGAAGAGATGCATCAGCTTTACAACATGTAATAACAATGTGGTACATTTTGTACCACCAGGTTCATAAATGTCTTCAAAAATGCAGCTATAGAAACACAACACACACACAATCCAACATAGTGCAAGACAGCAGGCAAAGCACTCAACTCCCTGCAACTAGCGGGCCAATGCCGCCTTACACTAAAATCATGGAGAAAAACCTGTGCCTTTAACATTACCAACAGGTTAACAAATGGCTACCGCACACACAAACAGCATCGTGTACAATACACTTCTTTAGATTTCGTGCATACCACACAAAAGCTTCAAACACATCATAATTAAATCCAACATGCACCACCCCAAGCCCCCGCAAAACACCAGTAACACGAACTGAGAAACAGCAAGCGACACGCAGCGACGTGAGTCAAGGTTGGTGAACTCATTTTGTCATTTTCGCGCCACGCATTTGGCACTTAGCAAAAATGAACAAAAGTGAGCGCAAAAATGAAATGGCGATACACAGGGGTGCCAGGGGACTGGCTGTCTTCTAGGATTTGCAGCGTACGTAGGGGCAGTGCGCATATCCTTTCCGAGGTTTTTGGGGGGTGCATAAGCCCGGTACGCAGCCACCTTCTACTTTGGAGGGTGTGTAAGCCCGGTGCGTAACCACCCTCCGTGTTTGAGGGTGTACAAGCCCAGTGCGTAACCGCCCTCCGTTTTGGAGGATGTATAAGCCCGGTGCGTAACCGCCCTACGTTTTGGAGGGTGTATACGAACAGCCAATCTGAAGATGGCTTCGTGCTCGCCACGATGCCAGGTATGTGTACCTGTGGTGGCCTGACTTCCCTTCTTCATATTCAGATCTGTTGTATTTCTGAAAGAAAAGTGCTTGAACGCATTTTTGACATGCTGCCTGGGGGTGAATGGTGACCTTTAGACGTCCGCTCGTTGAAAGGCGCACGTTCTGGTATGTCGAGCACGCCGCTCTCTTCAGCTTTGTATTCCATGCACAATGGCTGAATTACTCATGACAGCGCTTTTCGGCGTTTCCAAGTACTAATCGGAACAGGCATACTTCCCAACTGGGCGTTTCCGCGTTTTCGATTCGATTAGCTCTGTTGAATTACTGATGGATTAATGTTTGGACGCGTTTTGACATTTAACCGCCTAAAACCTACATGATAACCTTAAGAGTTCAGGCTATCAAAAGTGCATATACCTTACGGCATGGCGAACACTAAGCCGTCTACATATTTGTATGCGAGGTACTGCTGACGGAGTAATGCTCAGCCGCATGTCTTTCCCTAATTGCCCACCGCCTTCACGACGCCCATTAGAGTTGTTGCTGGCATGCTGCTCTGACGGTGGCAGTTGGTGTAATGTCATATTCGACAGCGAAGGGCGACAAGATCCGCTTGAAAGAGGATGCATCATCGGTATTGCTACCTGGGGATCAACCGATGATTTGCGGCAACAAACTGGTGTTCGAGACCAAACTGCTGACATGTGCGAGGGCAGAGGACAAACCGTAGTACAACAGAATAGTCTCCGGTGCAGTGTTAATCAACACTACTGGTGACCAGACTGTAATTGTGCAGTTTTCGGTCGCGTTGGGGTGACGTGCGTGCAAATATGTGTAACGTGCGGGAGGAAAAACATGCCGGATGATCTCTCTCCTTCTTTCCATGGAAGTGTGTCATCAACTCGTCACAACACGTGACAAATATTGAGTTTGAAGTAATTCCACTAAGCAACTTTTTGTTTGAGGTACTCTTACGTTTCTGGCGCAAGGTGTCATGTAGAGGAAGTGGTCAACAAGCACAACACTCCTTTCACATTTATGACCCACGTGATTCGCTGCATCCTCGCCTCACACAGAACAGCGCCTATTGCCAGACAAACCCTCTGATGAATGCGTGATTCACACCGTCAACATCCCACTCGGCCCGCGGCCGTCCTCAGGTCGTCGAGTTGAACAGCAGCCCTTGCCCCTGCGCCATGCGCAGCTGCCGCTTGCGCAGCAGGTCGACGAACTGCAGCTCTGGCCTCGCCAGACTGTCGCACCACTCGCTGTGCGTCCGCGGCTGGAAGCCGTACACGCGCTCGCTGAACGTGGCGAAGTCAGGCTGCATGGTGGCGCGCTCGCTGCTCTCCATGTCGCAGCGCTCGAGCGCGCGTTCGTTGACGGCGCGCAGTTCGGCCACCTCGCGGCGCATGCGCGCGGCGCCGAACTCAGCCACGCGCCGCTCGAACAGCGCCAGGAAGTGCGAGTACAGGAGGTAGTCAGCGGCCAGCCAGCGTTTGAGGCGAACGCGCGCGCGGCGCGGCAGGGCGCTGTGCGCCGCCGCCGTGCGCGAGTTGAGCCGCAGGCCGACCACGTCCTCGATGCGCCAGCACAGCGCGTGCTTGAGCAGCACCAGCGACTCGTCGAGCCGCTCGGCGATCATGACCAGCCGGAAGCGTCGCTCCGTGTCGGCCACCAGCCGGCGCACGGCCGCAAAGTCGGTGAGCCGGTCGGCCGGCAGGCCCAGGTCCCAGAGCATCTGGTTGCGGCCAAGCACGCCGAAGAAACGCTCCTCAGGGATCGGCTCGCGCTCGAGGAAGGCCGACAGCGGCTCGACGCGGTCCTGCTCCAAGTACGCGTACATCGACTGGAAGGCGGCGGCCGGGTCGCGCAGCGCCGTCACGTACGTGGTGTTGGCCGGCATGACGCGCGCCACCTGCGCGTGATCCCAGCGGTTGTGCACGGCGAGGATGTTATAGCCGAGCGCGTGCCACGGCAGGTCCCGCACCAGCTCCGCGTTGAACGGCTCGCGCCGACCCAGGTAGTTGCCCGTCAAGGGCAGCACGAACGTCAGGTTGTGCCGCAGCCCGAACCGGAACAGGATGTTCTGGATGGTGGTGGAGGCGCACTTGTGCGTCTTGAGGAAGCCGATGTTGACCTGCGGCCGGCAGGCGGCGGCGGGCTCGCCGGCAGTGGAGTCGGGCCTGCCGAACAATCTGCCGCGGAATATGACCCGATTAGTCGGCGCCGGCGAGCGAGTTATCAGCCTTTGATAACCGCACCGTCTAAGACACCTGATATTCGCGAGTGGCTGTTATGCTGCTGTTCAGCGTGGCTTCGCCATGAAGCTATCTGCCTCACCGTTGTGGGCCACTGAATTCTGCATCAGCGCAAACGCCACAAAATATGCAAGTGATTGCAACGCTTGCTAGCCCAGCTGGGTCGATAGGCACTCAAACTACGCGCTTTGGGACTTCGCAATCATATCGCTCCAGCATAACACCATAATCTTTCGCCAGCACGATTTAAAACGGCCCTTATTCGCAGAACATAGTCATTACTTGAACCGGACCCAGCGCTGCGAACAAAACACGGATCTACGGAAACACGCGGTCCGTGAGGCGAGTCCACATACAGTTTTCAGCGAACAATGGCAAGAGCTGACCGTTTGGGGCCGTCTGACAGGTAGACCAGAAGACTGAGCAGAGTCACGCCCGGCAGCAGCAGCAGCATCTGGCGCTGGAAGTACTTCATGCTTTCGCTTCCACCCGTCCGGGCCTCGTCGTGCGGTCGATCAGTCGTGTCGTCGTCGTATCATCGCTCAGTCGCGTCCAGATCTTCTCCGGATCTGCGGGAGCACACGTGCTCTCCAGCAAACATAACGCGGCCACCTGGCCGCCCGCCGCCCGCCGCCCCGCCGTCCCGACGGGTGCCCCGCGCGGCCGTTGGACTGATTGCTGAGTCGGTCGCCACTCCCCGTGTGGGGTGCGGGGTGACGGTAGTGACCCGTCAGCATGGGCCCGATAGCAGCCGTGGAGCAGCGGCGCACCCAGCGTTATCTTTCGGGGCGCGTGGCCACCCTCAGACCAGCATGACCATCGGCGGCTGAATACTGCAACACATTAGCCGCGCTGCTGAGCTGCCTGTGGTCAGCACGCACCGGGCGGCCGCTCGATACGCCCACCTTCGCGACTTTGGACCTGGGGTTCAAGTCCTCTTACAATGGACGCTTGTTGCAACGAAGGGAAGTACCGCCCGCAACTGTGTGCTTAACAGTCCGACGCCCGCGACGGTCGGCTCTTGGCCCGGTAAACGCACCGCGCCGCCGCCGACCGCGCAATAAAAACGGCGGCGTCGCGGACGGGACGGCGCAGCGCCGACCTGTGCTCATCCGAGCAGCTTTAGGCAACTTAAGCCATTTCAAACGCAGGAAGTAAAAGCCAAAGGACGTCGATCGGCAGACGAGTTGTAAGTGAAGTGACGTCCTACGCTCGGGTTCATCAAATGGCACTTCGCCCGTGTCCAGATGAGTTCGCACGCCCGAGGTGGAAAAACTAGAAGCTGCAAATTCCGCCTCGCAGGAGGTGATGCACGCTGCTCAACGTGTCAGAACAGCACCCTACAGACATCGCGTGCGAGGCCGCTCAAAGGTGCTTACACACAGAGGGGGAGGGGCTTAGACGGAGCGTAGCCAAAGCGTGACAAACGGAGGTTTTTACGACATCGTAACATTACTCTCAGGAGTGTTGCGTATCATGCTGAAATCTTTAAAAATAACTTCTAAGGACGTAACGGGAAAGGGAGCTTCGTCAAGCTTAGCCGATGCGCAACCGCGAGGGTGGAGTGAAAAATGGTCAGAAACGCATAGCTGAATTTAAGGCCGGCCCTGACTGACCTGTTGCTGTCACTGTCTCCTGACTGGAAGGTGGGCCGGCTACCACTGGTCCGCCGCACCCGATGTTGCGGTGACGGGCGCACTGGGCCCCCACCAGACACTCGGCTGCTGGTCCCGCTAGGCGTCGCGTCGGCCTGGCCCGCTGCGCCGGCGGCGGGCCGTAACCTGACGTCCCGCCGCCCCGGTCTCTCCCCGGTCTGGCGGCGGCGCCGGCACGCCAGAGGGTCGTCAGCGGCGTCGGAGGCCGTGCCAGGCGGGCCGCAGCGCCACCAGTCTGTGACGTCACCAGCGCACGGTCAATGACGGCGCCAGATAGGCCCGGCTGGTCGATACCGGCCCGGCCGACTCTTCCGCCGGCTCTCCGAACCGACTTCCCCCCCCCCCCCCCCCTCTCCAGCAGGAGTTCGGGCCGGCAGACACGGCCAGCCGTCGTCGGCGGCGGCGCTGTCCGCCCGGGAGCCGACGGGGGGTCGGAACAGAAACGACGGCACAGCCAGCAAGTCAGGCATTACCTGAACCGTCAGAGAGCGCCCCGAATAATAACACCACCCCGCGAAGAGACCCCGATCGACAGAGCCGGAACACCAAGAGAACCCCCGAGCAGGCGAGGCGACCTCGACAGCGCCGTTGCAGACTACATAGACCCCCCCCCCCCCATCCCCAGCAGTGTTCCGTGACGTCCGAGTATGTCCCTTGCCGAACGACTCGTCCAACCGCACCCGAGTCGGTGAGGACGTCTCCCGCTGACGGACCCCAGTGGCACGCTGTCGGGATGCCGCGGCCGTCGCAGAGTATACCGTTAGGTCAGGTCAGGCGCGCAGCTAGAATCCTGGGGGGGGGGGGGGCTGGCTGTCCTAGGCCCCTTTCCTGGGTACCCCTCGCCAAGTGGGCGAGGGGGTACCCATACCCATAAGCCTGTAAGCATACCCATAAGCCTGTTGAAAACGGCATTTTCTGTAGTTTTTGTGCTTTCTTGCGGACAGGAAGTCGTAGTTTAGAGCCCCAACGCGTAGCGTAACATTTCGATTTCTTATGGCACAAAAAACTCAGTCCTATCTAAGGCTCCAGAGTTTGAATAGTTATTTTGTCAACAGGGCCTACTTCAAGAGTAAATCACTGGGGTTATCTGTCACAACGCTCGGCCTCCGTTGGCCGTTATTCGTTCACCTAATATAGCACACGTGTACATTATACTCCTGGGAGCACGATCTTCTAAATTTACTTTGGGACGGTCTTGGGCATGCTCACCGACGCCCCGCACCCTCGAGTTCAAGCTACGTCTAACAGGCTCAAGACTGCTGTCAGGACCTCTACGGCACCTGGGTGCTCACAACCGTAATTTAGCTAGGGAGAGGATTACCTGGAGTGTCGTTTCGACAAGGCTGTGGCAAAGAGTACCCCACCACCCCAATCTACAAACCTGAGGCCAGCTCGCAGGTGTAGGCGCGCTTACCCCTACCGGCCGGCACGCACTATCTATTCGTGTCAGCCGCTGGTAGGAGGCTTCGGCCGAAGTGAGATCGGAGAGCGAGGGCGGGTCAGTCTTCAGAACCGGCTATGTGTGAACGCACATCCGCATTCTAGAGCCCACCCCACCGCAGCATCGCTTTACCATGGCCGGCGCTTTGCGCCCCAGGGCTGGCATTAACGATTTCTAGAGCAATTTCGAACGCTACATATCGACCGAGTACTTCGCTTTTAGGAAGGTGCGAGCACGAAACATGTGGCTCATGAGCGTCGTGACCAATGGATGAACAAAGTTTAGCTTTTTTGGCCGCTTATCCCGAAGCAAATTTACTTGCCGGGTCCACGCTACATTTACCAGTCAACACACTTTAGTGTCCCTTGAAGTGGCCCCATCAGGGGTTTTGCCTTAGGGGTCTGTTTCAGTTGAATAGCCCTCGTAATTGGGATCCGCCCCGAGCCGAGATTCCGCCACCGAGACCCTCCGGTTCCTTATGTAGGGCTCTAGCGGGCTTTAGCTTAAGGAATCCTTTTATGCTAATGGATTAGGCATGGGAGGTCACTCAAGGTTTCTCAACGACAGCCCCTTGTGATGATCACCTTGGAGCGCTAGAAGGGCCCCCTTAATGTCGCTCCCCCCACTGAAAATCCGTAGTGCCCGACGTTTTTAATTGGGGCCCTTGATTGCTTGCGTTTTGTGATAATACAACAGCATAGTACCATCTTCTACATGTCAGCATCAGGTTTCCCTTCTCAGCACAACCTGAGCATGGAGCCGTTCTCCCTCCCTCCCTGAGCGCTCCAGAGTCCCTCTGAAGCAAAGCCTTCTGTCAGAATCCTGGCCCTCCAGGCCCTTATCACACAGTATCATTCCCTCGCAGTCGATACGCCGTGATAGCCTCCCTTGGACCTGACAGGGTACTTTATGCACCCCCTGGCTGGGTGGGGCCTTTCCCATTGCCTATGACGGCTCTTTTCGGTACACATATTGTACAAGCCCATCACATCGCCGTCAGTTCTGATTCGTCGTGCAGCCAGGCTGGAGAAGGTTCGAATGTACTTTATTCAAAAAGGCCTACATCTACCAGATGCACTCGAAGCTGCCAGTGACACGCGGCAGGTGTACGGTAGTTACTCCCGCGTCCGCGGACGGGGCCGTGTTTATCATCAGCGAAGCACAGCACAAGACAAATCAAACAGACGCTCGTCGATGGATGGAGAGCAAACGATTACAGTCCTTCGCAATTAAACGGCGTGGCGTGTGAAACATGTCATAAGGCAGGATTTGGGCACACGGCCCTCTTCAGCCGATAGTCAAAGGAAACGACCCCGGTCACAGGAAACCTCATCGATACAAAAATACGTCGGAATGCTTCGAGAGCTTTGGCTACTACAAAAGACTGGCATGCGAAACGACGCTCTTCCCACGGGTACCAGTGATCAGCTGTTGGTGATGATGACGGCCTTCTAAAGCGAAAGAAGCTGAAGACGGTTTCGTGAGTCGCACGTAAACCTCGCGAACAAATGTGCGTCGAAAGAAAACGGTACAACACACCACGTGCAAGTCACTACGACTAAAATCGTGCGCATTCCAACTACGAATACAATAGATACTCCTACCGATAATAAAATAGTAAAATCTCCCAGATTGGCGTGATCATCGCCGGTAATATGATTATCAAAATAACGGCTTCTCAAACGATTCTGCTAGCTGCACAGATCCCCGGATCATCTTCAACCACCCACTATCTTTATATGCACAAGTGTCGAAACCGAACGTGTTTCTACCAGCAGCACATAATTCGCGGATCTGGCGGTGTTTAACACGATCGGCTGGGAATCATGGGAAGAACTGTACTTCAACACCAGTGAGGTTGCTTACGCGGGCCGGCCAACAGGCCACCAGCCACTGCTGCCGGAGCGTCACGGGGCGGTGCCGACCAACTCAAACCCCGCCGCCACCGGGGAGTGCAGTAAGGCGACGACTGCGGCTGCCAGGCTCCAGCACAGCGCCGTCTCAGCATCGCTCAGACCCTCGGGCCGGTCCGCACCGGCGGCGCGCCGAAGACCGGCCGGTGCCGCCCCTCCGCGCGCGTCTACACGCTGTCGGCCGGACTCTGGAACTCGGCCAGCGCCTTGATCGGCGTCAGGTGCTTCTTCTGCGAGCCCTTGCGCACCTTAGCGCGTACTTCCTCAGGCTTCTCGCGGCGCACCAGCGGCTTCTTCTCGGGTGCCTTCATTTTCCACACCACGATCGGCGACTGTCGGCAGGCGACACGCCAGTCAGAGACGGCCCGGCAGCCGGGCAGGCGGGCGAGTCAGAAGGGAAGGCGGCAGGTGTGCCGGGCAGCTCGGGACGATCACGCCGGTCACGAGGTCACGAGGTCAGGTGAGCGGGCGCGTCAGACGACATCAAGTCGGAAGCACGGTCGGAACGGCAGGCGACGGGCGGCGTGCGCACCAGGCGGCTTGGACGGGACGGTGGACAGGTGCGAGGGTCCGAAATGCCGGTGTGACGGACATCAGGCCGGTTAGAGTGGCAGGCGACGGACGCACCGCACATCTCAGGCCGGGAAGTGCCGTGCTCCCATCACGAGCCAGGCCGGCCGCGCCGGTGCAGTGACGGCCCGAGGCGACGGGCAAGACAGGAGACGGCGGGCGGGACAGGAGGCGGCGGCCGGACAGGAGGTAGCGGGCGGAACAGGAGGAGGCGGCGGACGCGACAGGAGGCGGTGGGAGTGCCCCTATGCGTTCGTGGCGTGCACCACTCAGTGCCCCCTGATCAGTACAGCTCTCGGAGAATGCCGCCGGAAGCGCCCAAGGCTGGTCTGCAGCGCACTGAATCAGTGCTGCTGCTCACATCATAAATATTTTCGGAAAAGCAATGTTTCGGATAAACGTTTGTCCACGCATTACGTGAAGAAGTGATCTTTTGCCGCGCGTATATTTAGGCGGCACAACCGTGCAAAAAGGCCGCCATGCGAGAGATGCAGCGCACGCAGCATGTGAATATTACTTTCAATGGGAACTATTGGGGGGCGGGGGGGGGGGGGTGGGTGGGTAACGACGTAAATAGCGCATTATGACGAGTAAGACTAGGCGCCGACTAATGCATCAAGACGACACACCCGTCAAGAAGTCACATTCGTTGGGATCTGACCTGACCTGCGTGGTAAAGCAGCAGGTCTTGACCAAGGCAGGTAGGCGTGGACCAGGACAGACAAACCCTGATCCGACGTCGCCAGACAACCGGCAAGTCCCACTTTCCTTTCCACATCACATTAAGACTAGCCGTGTGCCGTATCGTTGCCGAACACGCCCGGCGCCGGCTGGTGAGGGCTCGTGCATCACTCTGTGCCTGACAAGCCGCCATTAGCGTGTGCACAGGACCATTAGCGCGTCTAGTGTAGACGGGGCGGACCATTGTGAGCCGCAGGCTGGCGGCAGGCCGTCACGTGGAAAGACCAATGGCCGGCGATTTGACACACCTCACCGTCGAGTGAATAACAAGCCTTCACGGGGCACCTGTAGCCATTCGACACACCGGCTAGTTGATAAAAGGCACGCGCGTCGCAGTTTGGCACTCAGCCAACATCAGGCACGAATTATGGAGCACCGCGAAACGGTTGGCATCGTTTGTAAATGAAGCCGGCAGGACTACCGCCGGTAGCACCACCCAATTTAGAATTTAGCGGCAAATATTTGGGTGAAAACATCCACCAGACGTGTAATTACACGCCTTGAGCTGCATCAGCTGCCGCCAGCACCACCATCCGTGACTGGAATGTCGGCTCGCTTCGGACGACCGTTTGACAATGAAATCTTGTGGACGTGAATTCTATCGGTTAAAAAGAGAGCGCGATGCACGTCGTCGCACATTCTTCAATGAAGCACCAGCCACTGCGGGGTCATTATAGCGCTCAAGGGCCATGACGACACTGGGGTTCATATCCGGCCCCCAAGTGAGAGCCGAAGGCGCTAACTCAACCGTTAATATGAAAATGAAATGGCATGAACTGAACATGGCAAGCACAAGGTCGTGTAAAAAACAAACCTTACGCAACCAACCCTCCAACACCACCACTCAAACGAAGGATCGCACCATGACGGCCGACTGGCGCCGTCCGCCCTCCAGCCTCCGCTGCCGACCCCACCCGTGCCAGGCGTCCGCCCTGCGACGGCCGCGGCGGCAGGCCTACTCACGGCGACACGGGTGCTGCGGTACTTGGTGGAGGCCACGTAGGAGGCCTTGACGGTGACCACCACCGTGTTCATCAGATTCTTGGCCGCCTGGATCAGCGAGGTGGCGCTGTCCAAGCCGGACACGATCAGCTCGCCGCTGATGTTCTGCACGTCGGCCTTCACCTGCGGCGGCCGGGTGCGGCACGGGGTCAGGCCGGCCGCCGGCGCGCGCACAACACCAGACGCGGAGAGCGGGCCGGACAGCGCCGGCGCCAGCCCCGGAGGGCGGCGCACGGCTCTGCCATGCTCCACCCAGGCATCAACAGCAGTATCAGCATGCACCATAGCCCCGCGGCGTAGACTTGTGCACTTTGTTCACGCTGCACGCGCAAAATGACGGTCGTGCAGATGCGGCTTTCCGCTCACATGAACTCACTGCTGTCATGAAGTTCACAACCTCGAGAACTTAAGATCTTAGAATGCATTCCCCAGCTAAACATCATCGGAGTTTGTGACGTCCTGCAGCTGATCGCGCCTGCCGCAAACTTAGTCACTGCCCTATTTCCAGACAGCCTGTGCCATACGAAAACCTAGATCATTGCTAAAAGGTAAAGCCAACGTATGAGGGAGCCGTCATCGGTTACCAGTTCCAAGACACCAGCAGTCGCCTGGTCAGCGGCTCCATGCTCAGTCCCCACACGCCGACAACAGGGCTGTCCCCTTCCGCTGGGGTTCGGCACCGGTCGCAGAGCGGCCAGGCGGCGCCGACGGTACCTTGGAGGTGATGTTCAGCTGGTGGGTGTACAGAGCGATACGCTGCAGGTAGGCCAGCAGGTCCTTCTTGGTGCTGGACTCGGGGCACTGGTCGGCGATCTGGCGGGTCATCTTGTCCAGGTGGCTGCCAGCCTCCGAGATCTTCTTGGCGGCGTTGATGACGTCCATGGTGGTCTTGAGGGGGCCGCGACCCCTGTAAGGCGCAGGGAACGGCTCACCGGGCTGGCCGGCCTCGCTGACAACAGGGCTGCAGACGATGTACGCTGCAGAAATGATACGCGTACACACATACACACCCACGCCCACCCATCCACCCACCTACGCCCGCATGTACGTATATATATATATATATATATATATATATATATATATATATATATATATATATAGTGTGCCAAACACCGTGTGTGTGGTACATTCCTTGACACATAACGAGAGAGCCAAATGATCAGTTGCGTGTTCCTTAGAGCCGCAGTCCATAAGGTCGCTCAAGTAGCCATTTTTGCCATTGCTCACGGAAGATACACTCGGCGTACGGCCTCGCGAGCGAGCGAGGCGAAGCGAATCTCGGCAGCCTCAGCCGCCCTCATGCCTCACCTGCCGCCATCACCGGCGACGACACTCAGTTCGGCCATACCAGAAGAGCCACCCACCTGGTGAAGTCCGTCATCTCCATCATGATCATGCACATGTGCTTGGCGATGACGATGATGTCGTTGCCTGTGTCGTCCCACTTGGCCACTTCGGCGTCGAACTTGAGCTTCTCGGTGCGGAAGTACTCCACCTGCTCGGCGATCTTCTCCTTATCCTCTTCGTTCAGCTTTCTCATCGCTTCCTGTGAGCCAATTCAGAGATGTGATCAAATCACGAAACCTCGCAGACGGCCAGACGTCCCGTAACGGAACCACAAACACCCGATATTGCGCTTTAATTCGATCGATTTGGGTCGGCTTATCTCACCTGAAACGCAACGACCGAAATACACCACAGATCGTAGCTGAAATTCAGCGTCACAACCGTTCTCTCCAGCGAAAAAATGTCTCCGTTTACGACCCGAGAAGGCCATCGGTCGGCCGACACAGCGGCGCCGTGTCAGCTGCAGTCTCGGCCCGGGCGCTCCACTGACCCGAGCCGTGCAGATACCGCTGATGTCCGGGTACTCGTCCTCCACCAGGTGGTCAGTGGTGTGGGCGCTCGCTGTCGGCAGGGCGTCAGGGGAACCGCATCAGGACAGCCGACCGGCGCCGCGCTCACCACCGCAACCGGGCGATGTCGATACGTGACACACCCCGGCCGGCCAACACCCACGTGATGTCGACACGTGACACACCCCGGCCGGACAACACCCACGTGATGTCGACACGTGACACCCCGGCCGGCCAACACCCACGTGATGTGGACACGTTACACACCCTGGCCAGACAATACCCGCGTGATGACGCATGGCAAACCCGGCCGGACAGCACCCACGTGATATCGACATGTGACACACCCCGGCCAGACAATACCCGCGTCATGACACATGGCACACCCCGGCCGAACAACACCCACGTGATATCGACACGTGACACACCCCGGCCAGACAATACCCGCGTAATGACACATGGAACACCCGGCCCGACAACACCCATGTGATGTCCACACGTGGCACACCCCGATCGGACAACACCCACGTGATGTAGACACGTGGCACACCCTGGCTGGGACCACTGACGTGATATCGACACGTGACACACCCTGGCTGGGACCACTGACGTGATATCGACACGTGACACACCCTGGCTGGGACCACTGACGTGATATCGACACGTGGCACACCTGGAGCAGGCACTGCCGAGGCACTGATTGGCACCACTGACGTGCACTTGTCACATGACAAACAAGGATAGGATGTAACTGGCGGTCCGACCGCTCCGTAAATAGTGAGGACAGCCTTGCTGCGGTTGTCGCCGTCATTGGGGAGTTACGACGCACTCAGCTGCTGAGGCTATGTGGTGAGGGAATCGAGTCCAGTACCTCTGGTTTCCCCCAGACGCCTTATCACGCCCATGCTTCGCTGCGATCACAATAGCAGTACTGCCGTGGCATAGCATAGTATTGCAAATGCTGTTTTGTTCAAGACTGAGACCAGCCATAAATGGCTTTTTTATTAGACACTGACAAAAGTCAACTGGGAGATCTTTCTTTTGGCCTACGTCATTACAAGAGCGATATCAATGACTGGATTCGCACAGTAACGAGGGACTTGGGACGGGAAGGTGAGCTAGTGAACGGTTAATTTCCTGCAACGGCACAGTTAGGTGACGATGGAATATACTGCACTTCTTATGCTACTAATGCGCCGCATTAAGCGAACCAGCAACGTTCATAACCAGCAAAGTTGCCTGGAGGCCTTTGCACAGCCATTGTGCCATGTCCCGGCTGCACGAGCCGTACGCAGTACGGCACCAGCGCCGCCGCTGTGTGGTGCCACAGACTAATTAAGTGAATACTGGACGTGCTACAGTACCAGTTCTGTAATGCATAGAAGCCGAGCACTGGAGTACGTTACAGGTAGCTAGCTACCCCCGCCCCCCCCCCCCCTTTCCCCGGTCTGTGAGACCAGGGAGGAGAGGGGAGGAAAGGGGGGGGGGGGAAGACTCACACTTGCTGCGGGTCTCCAGCGTGTAGTACTCGTCCAGCTCCACCTCTTCCGGATCCAGCTCGTCATCCGTCTATGGGGCGAGCCACCACAGGTCAGCGTAAGTCAGCACAGAGGGGGCGCCACAGGTCAGAACGGAGCAGCGGCCACAGGTCAGCATGGAGGGGCGTCACAGGTCAGCACGGAGAGGCGCCACAAGTCAGAATGGAGCGGGGGCCACAGGTCAGCATGGAGGGGGCGCCACAGATCAGCACGGAGGGGGCGCCACAGACCAGTACAGAGGGGCACCACAAATCAGCTCAGGTCCGCAGGGACCAGGTCAAGCAGGGGGTGGAGCTCCACACATCGCCGGCCGCCGGAGACAGCGGGCCAGAACAGGTCGCAGATCAGCAGCTCAATGGGGGATCACAGAGACCTGGCTGACCACGGAACATCCAATAACACAGATCAGGGATACACAGGAAACACACATTAAGACCATGGAAGTCCATGCCAGACAGATGGCCAGCAGGCCCTGGCCACAAAATGCGATAGGCGTGGGAAACACGACCACTGCGAGCTCATCAGTGTGGCAACAGACACCAAACGGCGCACCTCCCGCGCTCGTCGACTCCCGCTGACGGACACGCCCTCCCCTGCACGCCCCGCTCGGGTGGGACAGCACCCCTCGCCTCTCCCCCCGCCGCAGCGGCGCCGTACCCGATTCATGAGCACGGCGCGCCGTATCTCGCGCACGCCGTCGTACACCAGCCGGGAGCCGTCGATGAACTCGTTCTCGTCCACCTCCTTCTGCGGGCTGGAGCCAAGCGCGTCCACGGCCACCTCCACACGCTGCGCGAAGTTGGGCATCACTGCCGGAGGGAGGCGCGGGGCCGTCACAGATAGACGGGGCACAAGCTGGATGCTGGGCGCCCGTTACTGACGTGTGTGACACGCGCACAGCGACAGTGACTGACGCGGAAAACCGAACAGCAAGCTCGCGTTAACGCACCGGTGCCGTGCTAAATGAAAGGCCTCTGCGTGACGTGGCAGGCTTGTAGGTATCGATTATGGCCAGAACCGGCCTTCAACCAACGCAAAATAACGGCGGAGACTGCACCTATGCAGCACCCGTGGTTAGCGCATCGACGCCCACACCAGCAAACGGCCTTACACAGACGCCACCACGCCCATGGCTGAGGATACCCACACACAACCCGACAGTCCAGTGTCAACAGCGCAGCATGACGTCACGCTGCCGTCACGTCACGCCTCCAGTGTAATCCCCTCTCCCCAAGGCGCACCTTGCTCTCGGAGCACCTTGACGGCCTCGAGCACGCGCTCGGTGTACATGCAGGGCTCGTAGTTGTCCATCTCGGCGCCGACCACGTTGCAGACGCGCGCGGCGCGACCGCGAATGGCGCCGGCCGTGCGGTCCAGCGTGTCGGCGTCGCTCTCCTGCAGCGCCAGCACGCACTTGTTGACGTCCTCCAGGATGTGGCCCTCCGACACGGCCAGGAAGTCGTCGATGGTGGTGATGTCGTCGACGGCGTCCGTCAGCAGGCGAACCTGGCGGCGCGGACGGGAGGTCAGCGGGGGGGGGGGGGGGGGGGGGGGGTCGGACGGCGCGTCCGGGGTCAAGCGATGACAGGAGGCTGGGACCAGAAGGCCAGGATCAGGAGGCTGGGGTTGTGAGCGGCAGGTCGGATGGCACGTCCGGGATCAGGGCCGATGTCAGGAGACGACAGGAGTTAAGGACCGAGGTTGGGATGGGTCGGTAAGCTCGCCACATTTGCAGTCACCCATCGCACGCCATACCACGGACCCGACGAGTCTCACGGGACCGAGTCCATCGCCGATCAGTGGAGCGCCTCTCGGACCCGGTGCCTGACGTCAGCGGCGGTAACCCTCGGCGGTGGCGGTGCATCTGCCTCCAGCGGGGCCCCAGTCCCCTCTACAACCAGGACTAGTCTCAGTCTCAAGCAAGCCATCAACCAATCAGGACTCCAGACCGTCGCCAGACCGGCACGAACGGGATGACCCTGCAGCCGCCTCGCACCTGGTTCTCCCAGGCCGCCCGGAACACCTCCATGTTGTCCTGGGCCACCTTGGACTTGGGCCGGCTGGCCAGCACGCGGGCCGCGTTGATCACCTGCCGGTCAGTACCCACACGCACGGTCACGCGTTAGTCGCATCGTCCTGCAAAGAACCAGCTCCCAGCCAGCTTCCAGCAGGATTCCAGCTAGCTACGACGGGAAACATATCGCAGTGAAGAAACACGCTAACATCGATTGATGAGCAGCTAAAACGCAACACCGCGAGACGCAACAGTGACCACCATATCGGACGGAGCATGCCCCCCAGGAGCTGACGATCACGCAGGGGCTGACCTGCGGGCAGAGGTTCTCGATCTGCGAAGTGGCGTACAGCACCATCTTGACGCCGTCGCCGTTGTTGGACATGTTGCAGGCCAGCTTGGCTACCTCCGTCAGCTTGGTGGCGTGCTCTTGAAACACCTGGACAGGTGGATACGTTTTGCGTGAAAGCAACACTTCCAGTGCTGCTAAAGTGCCTACAACACGCATCAAGACTTGCGGCCGTCAGTGCAGAAGGCGGCAACTAAATTCCCCGGCACCAAAATGCTGCCAGCCTCGTCCTGCTCTGACCCGGCCAGCCTGACATCGCCATTTTCTGCGAGCGAATTTGGTCCGGTGTGCCAATGCACTGGCAGGACAGGTATAAATGACAGGATACAATGACAGGTAGAAATGACAGGATACAATTTCAGTGCTTGGGTTGACCTTTTAGGCAGCTCCAACTATTCTCTGTCTATGTCACTATTCTGTGCTGGTTAAAACAGCGTTAACTGACAGAAAATGCAAAGCCGCAACTTCGATAATTTCGTGATGATCCTGTGGTTATGGTCACTGACATTACATTCACTACCCAGCACCCTCATTGTGCCCTTCCAATGCATGTCAAATAAAGCAAAATATTTGCCTTTGGGATACGCAAATGCTGATCGAAGCTGAACTGCGAAGTCTATAAACATTATGTGACACCGTAGCCACAATGAAAGCGCTATTTCCATCTTTTAGTAGCTGCTGTGAGCATCATGCCCTCCATACACCTCCGGCCGGAAGCCGTCTGGCGGCTGGGGTCGGTCCAGTTACCTCCCCCCCCCCCCCCTCCCTGCGCAACATTGGCGCACGCCTCCGACCGGCGCGCGAGTACCCTGTGCCCCGCAGTGTGCTACCTTGGCGTACTCCTCCACCTCGCGCTCGTTGCCGGCGCGCGCCGCCTCCATGAGCACCAGCAGCGGCACGTTGGTCTCCAGGAAGCTGTCGGACACGTGGTCGACGACGGCCTTGCGCAGATGGCGGCGCAGGTCGCGCGTCTTGCGGCTGATGTGGTCCAGCGCGCGGTCCAGCTCCTCGCTCGGCTCCTTGCGGCCCATCTGCCGGCGGGGGCGGCGTCAGGCGCGGCCCGACAGCTGCCGCGGGCGGCGAACAGAAGCCTACAGCTGGCGGGGAGGGTTCGGGGACATTCACGTCAAACGGGAGCCCAGAACTGCACTTTGCTAGAACGGCACTCACGCTGGACATGTACTCGGCCCACACCCACATTGCACATGCATCAGGAGCAGACCATACTTGCGTTGGACATGTATTCGAGCAGCCCTTCCTCACGTTAGAAATGTACTCGGAGCGGACCGTACTCACATCGGATCTGTGCTAGGAGCGGCCCACACTCGCACTGGACCTATACTCGGGCAGTTCACACTCACGTTGTACATGTACTCGGAGTGACCCACACTCACATTGGACATGTACTCGGAGAGCAGGTCCTGCAGCGCCTGGCGGACGGCGTTACACTCCGACACGATCTTCTCGCGCCGGTCGTCGCGCGTGCAGAACGAGTCGGCCACCAGCGCCGTGGCCGAGATGATCAGCTCCAGCTTCTCCTCCAGCGCCGGCCGCGTGTGCACCTCATTGTAGGTGAGCGGGTCCATGACAATCCGTTCCTGTGGCGAGGCGGACGTGGACGAGCGGTCAGCGGCGCGAGCCAACCGCTCCGGACCGGCTCGACTAACCCAGCTCACCGATGTGAACGATCGCCACAAGAGCACAACGTTGCCCTACGATGCTTCAATATATGATACGATATGATACGATACGGTAAGATACACGATACGATGCGATACGATATGATGCGATACGATATGATACGATATGATAGGATACAATGCAATACGATATGATGTGATGACATGACATGGTACGAAACGATACTATACACCACAATGCGGTGCAAGACTACGATACTTACGATACGATACTAAGTTCGAATCATAACTCACTGCTCGGTTCTCTCTGTCCCTCCCCCGCTATTAGAGTTCCGGTCGAGCACCGGTCGCTCCATGCACTACAAAGCGCGCAAGAGGCCCAGCGCCGCCTGCCCCGGTCCCATCGCGCCGGACATATGACTAACGGGCAGCTGCAGGGCACGTGGTCAGAGACACGTCCGGCCGGGCACGCGCTCGCAGCGCCGTCCGGTCCCTGGTCAGCGTCCGGCCACGTCACGGTCGGCCGGACAGACGGTGACACGGCAGCCACGGCTGACGGCCACACCGCACACCGCAGACGTGGGACCATACCATGGCACGCCGCAGACGTGGATCCACACCACGTCAGACCGCGGACGTGGGCCCATACACATCGATGGCGACGTCTGGCATGTTTTGAATTTGGCTGGACTCGAGTCTTTCCGCTGTATGACTTTCGAGCCGCGTGAAAACGCAATCGTACCTGTGCCCCGAATTCGATGTCGGTCAGGGCGTTGCGGTGGGAGCTCTCCGAAGTCGACAGAAAGATAATATCAACTAAGCACTTTCATAACCGATAACTTCTGTGTCTGTGTTTGTGTCTGACATGAGCCCATGACCAACAATGGAGATAATCCGCCCATATGTAAACACTACCAGCTACATCGTTCAGGTGGGTGTGCAGGACCCTTCCATCTGCTACTCATTTACTGATCCATGCTGGCAACTACGGGACACCTTTCAAAGTCGAATGGTGCCATAACCTAAGTAACTGCATTGTCTCTCGACTATGCTAGATGAACGGCGACTTAACCGTTATGTAGAAGACAGGCACACACCAAGCAGCAACGGTTGTTCAAACGCGTTCCGTTTAGGGTTATCTCCCACAGTGATATTCCCTTCAGCGAAGTCTTCAGTGTTCTGCTCTGCGGTGATATAATTTGCTAACTCATGTCACCAATGGTTCTTTCCAACATTGCACAAATGTTTTGTGGTTTATGTCCAGCGTCTGCTGTTTTTTTATCTTTCTTCCCTTTGTTTTCCCCAATAATTTGTTGCAGTGTTCCGAGTCCTGCCCGGCGGTCTACATCCCTCACGTACGTCGAACTCGTCGAGCGCGGCAGCCAGCACGCCGGGGGCCTCGGCCGGGTCGGTGTCGGCGGCGCGCGGCGCGCGGCCGTTGGCGATGTCGCCGATGGTGTCCACCGCCTGGCACACCTGGCGGTACACGAAGTCACGGTTCGCCTTGGCCGCCGCCAGCTCCGGGTGCCGCACGTACGCCTGCGGGTGGCGCAGAGGGATGGAGTCAGCACGGGCGGGGTAGCCGCAGCCGCAGACGCAGACGCAGACGCAGACGCAGACGCAGATGCAGCCGCAGCCGTAGCCGCACCCGCAGCCGCAGCCGCAGCCGCAGTCGCAGCCGAAGCCGAAGCCAGCACAGGCCGCGAAGACCTGCACTCGGACACGCCAGAGGTAAGCCACGCGGATCGATACCCAGTCCGACGATACAAACGGCATGACCTGAGCCGAGCTGACTTTGGATTGAGCCCAGGCACCGGTCATCCCATTTCTTCTATCTTGCATGCGGACGAATTTCAAAAGCAAACCAGCTCATCACAAGCAATGCAAGCGAATCGCACAAACCGCATGACACGCTCGCCACCGCGCCACGAGCGACCGAAACCACCCGACTCGCGTTCACCCGCCTTTGACGCGGTGAGCAGCATCATGCTGTTCTTCTTGAGCACGGCACGCGCTGCGGCCAGATTGTCGCGCAGCTGCGGGTCCTTGAGCTCCATCTGGCGGCGCGCCGCTTGGTTCACCAGCTCGTCAGTGTTGCGGCCGAACGCGCGGAAGTTCTCCAGCAGCTCCGACTGGCTCGAGGCGTTCTTCAGGCGCTCCAGGTCGTCCTCCACCTGCGCACGGGCGGCGGTAGCGGCAGTGTTGGAGCGGTCGGTTCAGCAGTAACGGCAGGCGCCAAATCCTACGCACACTGACAGTGGTGCATCAAAGTTAAATAGGAAACGCCGGGTATCGTACTGTTACACGCGGCCCGCGTCGAAAGGCGGGCTGCACGTGTAGCCAGGGCAAACAATCACGTGCGCCAAACGTCTGAGCATCAACTAGTGAGCAGCAGGACATGTGTGATATGCCGCCACTGCCGCGTTACCACACAACAACGTCCGACAGCTGGTCGTCGAGTCTCAGCCGGCAAGCCGAGCTCAGCAGCTGACGACGCCGTCGCGTGCGACTGTGGCGGGCGGGCAGGCGGGCGGCGATTACTCACCAGCCGGAGGGACTTGAGCAGACGGTGCACGTCCACCATGTCGGCCAGGATCAGCAGGCGTGTGACGGCCGACAGCAGGCTGCGCGCGGCGCGCACCATGCTGCCGCGCTTGGCCGAGCTGCACGGCTCCTCAGCGAACGCCCGGGACGCGGCGCTCATCGCCTCGCCTACCGGTGAGCGCCGGCGGCGTCACGGGACGTCACGGCCGGCCGAAACCTACTGGTCGACTTCCGGGTTGAACTGACCGCGGACACGATAAGGCAGAAATTCGGAGAGAAAAGAGCGCATCCAGACGGGGGCGCACGTGCATTCGCTGTCACGCGAGCCTTGCTTTGAACCCACAATGACGGACATCAGTTGCAATGCTGGGTCACTTCCGACACCAAGGTCAACCCCGACAGCAGGCAGTTACTGATCAACCCTCGGCCAGGTCAGAGTGGGCAGCGTACGCAGCTCCTTCCCCCCCCCCCCCAAATATCACGTCCTTCATGCAGGGCACCATTAACCAACAATGGAAACTGGCTCACTTTTTAAGAAGTCGTGCCTACCAAAAACTGTGTAAATGAGTCTTTCACGGGGGGAATGGCGGGGCGGTGCCGCCGCCTCAGGCGAGTGGTATTCGTAGCGCCACCAGGGGTCCGGACTGCACAGCCTGACTGTGGTGCCGGTCCGCCCGGCTCGGGGACTCCCGGGTCTGGGTCACGCCGTCCGACTGTGTTGGGGGGGGGGGGGGGGGGGGGAGGGCGCCGCGGCTCGCCGTCACGGATCATCCCAGTCCAGCTCGCGGAGGCTCTGGCGTGACGCTGCGTCACTGCGCTTTGCAGCGGATCAGCGACGCTCTCTTTCACAAAGTCCAGCTCATATACAGTGGGGGACCCAAACATGGAGATGAGAGAGGTAATGGGGAAAATGGGGTGGATGGATATGGAATGGGCTTTGTCGTGAGTTGACTGAACTTGGTGATGCTGTAAGCACAAGTGTTGAAGTGCTTGCCAGCAATAACGAGCCAAATCTGCATGGTTGTATCTAATAACAAAATCTGCATGATTGTGTTTATGGGGATTGATTGTGTTACAATCAAGATAGCATACATGCGATGACAGATTTGCACCTTATAAGCAGTGTCTCCCATAATTGTATGTCCTACCTCAATAGAGAAGCGTGGTAACATTAACCACGTCAGCTTCAAGTTTCCAGCTCAGTAAAATGTCGACAGAAGAAGTTTCTATTTAACTACTTACAACAATGCTTAGCACCTTGGGGCCAAAGTGCCAAAGTGACTATCCCTCCAGTTCCCTGCTGTTTATCCATACATCTTCTGAGGAGCCACCACAGACCAGGGTAGCCTGCGGGCGGGGCCCGTGACCAGCCCACAGCAAGCTTCCTGGGCCATCACTGACCTGTCTTCTTGACCTCGTCCACCGCCGCCAGCATCTCCTGTCGGATGTCCGGGTTCTCCAGCGCGATCTGTTCGCCCCGCTCCAGGAAGTTGGCCGTGGCCTTCTCCACAGCTGCCACCAGCACATGTGCCCGCTTACTGCGACCCTTCTTCTTGTTGGACGGGCCCTTGGTGTTGACCAGTGTTGTCACCTGCATCACAGGTGGTGGCGCTGGATGGTAGCAGCAGGTACAGCTGCCCAGTGATCTCGGCATGCTACAGCTCAGCATCAATCTGGCATTGCAGAACTGCAACTTATATATGGCATAACATGCTTACTTTCTGAACAAAATGTTATCATTTTTATGACACTAAAATGGGTGAGAGTCACACACATCCCACAGCATGCAGCATATTTGCAGGAGCAGCACATGCAATGTCTCTGAAATCTAGCAGCACACAGCTAGCATGCACACAGCACTGACATGCTAAAATGATAAGAACACAATCAAGAAGAAACATCATAAAGTGATAGAGGAAACCAATTACCTGGATGACCAAGGGCTCCAATGTCATCTCAACAGAACGTGTTTTGATCTCCAAATTCTTGGGATCCCATCTGAACTCAATATTACTTCCCTCACCCTGGGTCATCTTGGCATGCAAACTGAAATGAGGTCAGTCACTGAGCACGATGCAGAGATTGTAAGACATGAAACCTGCAGGACGAGCGGCTCCAGAGTCCTCTCCACCGACATTGTGCGGATCTCCAGGTTCTTGGGATCCCATTTCATGCCCAGGGTGCCCAGCTGTTCTGACACCATGGTTGATCTGAAACAATGCTTTCAAAATGTACTGTTTGCATAATGGCACATGAATGATGCAAACATTGTCAGGTATTCAGCAGCTGACTGTGCCTAGCAGTGACAAGATGGCCATCACCAGAGTAAACAGTCATTTCTTCACAGGAACGAGAAACCAGAGGCTGGTTATTTACATTGCAAACATCCAGGCATGGCAATTATCATTAAAGGACTTCAAATGTGTGTTAACATTTATATGGGATTAAACACACATGTTTGCAAAGGATAGAGTGATGAAAAACAGTGAAATTGGAGAGGAGCAAGGTATTTGTGGAGGTATCATTCTAGTTTATACTGTTGTCTTATGATGAATATGACATTCACGGCACTTGATGCTTCCCCAACCAACTAAATCAGTTCAACCACTCCTTTTGATTGTGAGAGGAGGCAAGGACCTACTTGGTTCCCTAACCATTGTTGTTTTATTTCCACCACTGAACCAACATTTGATAGATGATTCATGGGTTGATTATGCACATGATGTGACTAATGCCATATCTGCGGACTGCCCCCATCTCTTCAGAATGTCATTGTTTGTTGGTGTGGTGCATAGTTTTACCAAGCATACATAATGCTGGTTGGTTACCAGTGGAACAAATGTGATAACCCAACCCACCCAGTAAGAGCAAATGATGCTTGTAATTGGGATTACTCACCTGCACAGGTCACCTGGTAAACAATTGCAATAGTGGCTTGGCAAGGACCCATGTACTGCCCACTCAGACATGACAGTGAAGCCTGCCAGTAAAATGATAGCAGACAGGCCACATTTAACAAAACATATGGTGTGGAACATTAGTAAATACTGTGAACGCTATTCCCACAGGCACAAGCACTTCAGCCACCACAGACAACATCCACCAGTTTCACCCACATCAACAAAAAAGCTACCATATGGTTAATATCAATAATATATATAATTACATGAATACATTTATCTCCACAAATTTGCCTCAGTTATCTTTCAAGCAGTGATGGCAGGTTCAGCTTCTACAGACTAAGTTATGAACTTGAATGTGAGGCATGATCCATACATATGTATGTGGACATTCAAATACTACTAAAGGCAACCAACTGATACCCCAGAATCACCCCATGTTACTTGATGCAGCAATAATAAACATTAATAAGGGATTGGAATAATGCACTGGTGGGCTTGTCCTATTACTTTGCATATAAATCTGAGGGTATATAATGAATGAAGGTAATAAATTCATCTGTGAGCATACCACCAGGCTAAAACTCAGTGAACGTGAAACAAATAATGCATTGTTTGATGCTGCCCTAAGAAAAGGCAGGTACGTATGCAGTGCACACACCACAACCCATCTCTAAACAATTTAAATGCTGCACAAGATATTATTATGACTTTGATATTCTGAACCTGGAGCTTGCATACACTGAACTCAGGCAGTGCCCAAATGTGCTTACATTTTAAAATAATTTTTGCTTACAAAATATTTGGAGCATCTTTATTTGAAACAACCTGAGGCACATCATGATTCCTTGGAAACATTAGCTTTCATAGCACTGAAACTGGTCACAACCATGCACCAACTCAGAGCTCTCAGACTTACAGTGTGCATACACTAAAATTTCACTATGATGTCACTGATATGCTGGATGTGTACAGTGTGATTTGAATTTTTCCATCTGACACCCACCTGCAACACAATGGTTTGGTTGAGACAGATAGTATATCAACCAGTGGTCATGGTCAGTCATAACAAATGGTTTGTTGGCAGAAATGCAGACATAGTTGCTTTTCCATTCAAATATTTATTCTAGCAACGCTTAATGCTGCCTTTCCTACTTGCCATCAGTTCCCCTCCGATATCCTCTCCCCTTTCCGTCTCTCAACATCCCACTAGTCAACCCCAACCACTTAATCAGCCACGAGCATCAAACTAGCACACAACCTGGTAATGGAAGAACAACTCATACCTGTCACAGTATAGCCGGAGCAACCGCCACCACCGCCGTGCCCGTCACGCCCAGCCACAATCTCGCCACGCAGAACGGCTGCGGCTGCTGGCGTATCACAATGCACACAGCATACGCTGCCTCACAGGTCAGCTGACTGCAGTCTGCGCCGCTTTGTGTCGCTGGTACTGATCGGAACTGGAACGAAATACAAACGGAGCCCGGCTGGGAACGAGTCGCTGCATGCACTGCAAAGCACACCACCGGCCCAGCGCCGCCTGCCCTGGCTCCGTTGCACCAGACATGCGGCTCTTGATATGACTAATGGTTACTAAACGGTTAAATAAATAAAAAACGCGCGAACTGCGCGATGCGTTCCGGTGGCTCAGTTGGTTACAGCGCATGCCTCCCGATTCACCCACCCGTGGCGGGGTGGGTTCGAGTCGTTTTAGGCGCCCGCTATTTGTCATTGACAGGCATGGCCTGCGGCCGGTGGCAGCGGTCGCGCTAAAGGTCAGTTGACGTCAGAGGGCAGGACGGACCGTGCCGAGCATTGCGGCACGTTAAGCTTTCGCCACTAAATTCTGCCGTTGCCTGGAGTTGCGCGATCGGATGGTAGAGGTCGGGGCTCACACAACAAGCACTGCTTAGCGTGAGCGCTGATCCCAGAAATCCATCCATTCAAAGGGTTCGGATCAAATTTCTAAAAAAAAGATGCGCAGTGTGAGACAAGTCCGGCCGACATATCCGGTAGCCGGCCAGCACACGACCATGTCACGGCCGCAGAACGTGCCGTGACGGAGATCGTGCTGTGACGGATACCGTATTTTGACGAAAACCGTGATTTAGCGGAGACCGTGCTGCGACGCCATTGCAGGATGCTTCCGTGGGGTGAAGCATGGATGAGATGCTATGATGTGTTATCCATGGGTAAAGTCGGGTGTATTCTGGGAGGGGTATCATTGGTGGCACGCGCACCGTCATCATTTTGTTTTCAGGCCTTGCTATGCGTGTGATGGTGGTGCAGTTGGTGGTGGTGCACCTTACCTCGATGGTGCAGTTGGGGGGGGGGGGGGGGGCGTCCATAAATTACCTTATGCGTTTTGGGCCAAATTTGCATTGCCCCGCTCCCTCCTTGGTTACGCACGAATTACGCTAGGCGAAAGCACCGCCATTGGCGGATCTTCGAAGGGGGGGGGGGGGGGGTGTCACGCGGCCTTTCTTCCTTGGGCCGAAAGGGTACCAGAACCTAATAACGGTGAAGCGGCACCAAAACCGTTATTTCAGATTTTTCATTTTCGAGAGGCCTCAGACCCCAAGGGCATGACAATGGTCCGAAATGTTATCCTCAAAGGACACAAAATTCATTTGAATCTAAACACCTAAATGTCGTGCCTCCTATTCTAACGAAGTCCTGGATCGGCCCTTGGGGCTAAGGGCACCAACACGGTTATTTCGGGGCACCTAACGTCTATGCCCAAGAGACGTTTAGTCCAAGCGAGTCATTTAAGGGGCCCAATACCTCCATTTTTGAACGGGACGTAATCCACCACAATTTATGTGCCTTTCATCCTAGTGAAATTGTAGAGCGGCCCATTCAGAGGAAGGGTGCCAAAAACCATTCTTTTGAGGCATAATAACATTTATTTTTATAGGCACCAAATTTAGAGAACAGCACCAAGAACACTGGAACTTGTATTTTGAAGACAACTAATTCCAGGGGCGCTGCTATGATCACGCCTGCCACTGACGAACACACTGGACCGCGCACTCGCCTTACTCTGGTGGGCCTCGCGCCGGTGCGCAGTTGGTTTCCGCACCCCACCTGACGTGAAAGAGCCTGTACATTTAATCCTGGACTAGCCAGGATGAAATGCGAGTGCCGTTGAGCAGAACTGACGGGTGGCTAGCAGAGCAGTTCAAATTGGTGTGCGTGTGTGTGGCTGTGTGCGTTTCGGGAGTAATCGTGACTGCCAATGGAGCGTTAATGTTTGCGTATAATTTTGCGCCTTCCTGAACGTCTTGCCGTGTTCGTTGGTAGCACGAATTGTGAATAGGTGGCAGACAATACAAGCGTCTTCTGTGCGTGTTTCTGACCTACCGCTCCTGGTCATAGCACGTTGCTGGGCCATGCTACTCCTCTGGTTCTGTTTTGGACGTCATGATTGCTAGCCAAAACTATGCTGTGCGTAGCGAGATTGGCTCCTGCTCTTTCAGCCCGCATACCGGCGTCATGTTGAAACTACCACGCCCCAGACAGGACGAGCTGCTGTACATGCCATTGGCCGTTCCGCAGATTAGTGGCGATTCATGTATGGAGATGGACGCCAAGTTAGCGCACCATCACCGATCATCGCAAAAATGAGCGCTGCGTTGTTTCGACAAAAACTAGATAAAGTTCAGAATGTGAATACAATTTGTTGGTCGCCGCGCCGGAAGTTTGATTATTGTTGGGGTATTCGGTCACGTCAACTGTTGGGGTCTTTTTGCATCCAGTGCCCGAAGCTCGACTCGACAACTGTAGTGGTCATGTGTACGCTTTCTTCTTCTTCGTCCTTCTACCATTCTACGTTGTGTTTATTTGTACGCATAAATCGCATGTTTTAAACCGCCCGCGCCTTTTTCATCCATCTTGCTCGTGCACCTTACGTTATATTGACAATAGGGTCACGATCGCCGCGCGTGGATCGTAGATCGCTTTAAATATAGTACTACGACCACCACCAGGACCGTAGGACATCCAGTGGTCCCGGGGCGGCACCGGCGATCTCATTTCAATAGTGTGGATTCAGGAATTATTCACAGTCCCTTTCATGGAGGATTACTTGGGCTCATTGCGCGTCACGAAATAAAGGCAACGACTACACGAGACTTATCCACAGCTAGCCGTGGTCCGGTGGTCCACCGCTGTCGGTGGCGCTGTGTTGTCCACCGCTGTCGATGGCACTGCACTGTCCACCGCTGTCAGTTGCACTGTTCTGTACAACGTTGTCGGTGGCGCTGCACAGTCCACCGCTGTCGGTGACACTGTACTGTCCACGTGGTGGGTAACAGGCCTGGGCATCACTTTTCGTGTACCATATTATCGTCATCATTCCAGCCGGGGAACAGGCCATCACTCCAGCCGAGGAAAAATGGTCTGCTCATGTTAACTGAGCCCTGGAAATCATTTGTTGCTCAGCGGCGGATGCAGGATTTCGTCAACGGGGAGGGAGGGGAACAAAACATGGTCAGGCCCCGAGAGTCTGGGCCCCTGCAAAATAACTTGGATTTTGGCCATCGAATTTTAAGATTAAACTGTATATTTTATGAGAGAAACCATCTTCCTTTGCGCGGCCCTAGAGGTTTCTCCCCAACTTTGGCCTACTTTCTCACCAAAATTGGGGGAGGGGGCCGAACATAGGCGGATCCTGGGGGGGCACGGGGCCATGACCCCTCCCAAAAAAACTCTGAGAGTATGTTTTGGCCCCTCCCCAAAAAAAATCCCAGAACTTCATAAAAGTTTCGTCCACTTACCGTCTGTTTTAACTTTAACTGTTTTAGCTGTTTTGTTTTAACTTCTGTTTAAGATTCAAAAGCATTTCGGTGCTTGAATGGTGTCCCTTCTAGGTACTCGCGAGAGGCACCATGCACTGGACCTCGGATCCCACACCAGCCAGCGGGCGACGAACGGTTGCTCCCCCCCCCCCCCAAAAAAAAAACAACTCCAGGCTAGATCCGCCCCTGGGGCCGAAGCCCCCCAACTGACAAGGAAACTACACCCCTGCATATAGCACACATGGGGCGCGTTCATTCCCTCCAGATCATGGTGGATCCCGTCATTTTAAGGCTAAGTACTTCATAGAAGATACGGAAAAATGAGTTAAAGTTGGCTCCTAAATATCATCAACATCAAGCACGACATCTGATTCCAAGAATGGTTACGGCTAGCCGGTTTCCGGTGGCTTGCCGGCTAGGACGTGATCAGCTGATGCCTAGTGACTAATACAGAGTTCTCTTTTCGACTGTTCTGAAGTAGTACACGATATCCTAGCCGTCGAAATGTGTTGAGAACGTGATGCACAAGCATGCGTGTCACAAATTCAATAACTAGCGACAATCACATACATGGTGTAATACGTAACCACAATGGCGCTGGCGGCCCATGCAATGATCTTCGGCAACAGTGTGTAAAATTTCGTCGAAACATGTCCGGCTGCTACTGTCTGCGACTTACGCGCCAAGAAAAATTGTCATCGTGTAGATCCCGGACTTTACGCATGGATCAATTTAGCCCAACCCGTACATACGAACAGGGGAAACGTGACGTGTAACTAGAGTGCTAGCATTCGCCAGGCCTTTGGAAATTGGAGTAAGGTCCTTCTGACTTCATCGGAAGAGCCAACAACCAATGTAGAGACTTCCAGAGCGATCAAGAGTGCCCCGTTCGATTGACATTTAGGTCCACGTGACAGCGCAGACCCACCCACAATGTGGGAAACCCAAGATGAACAGGGACGACACCTGAGCGATCCAGCGATCGCGTGGGCAGAGGCAATTCAACGACGAGGTTCTGTCAATAGTGTAGTATTCTACGGGCAAACGAGAAAAAAAAACAAGACCAATGTGGTGAACCCCTGAACTATTGGAAATGCTCCGCGGGGTAGCACATAGGAGCCCGGCCAGAGCGCAAGGCCCTCGAACAAACGGGAAGAATCGAAGACCCATGTGCATGCATTAATAACCTCGAGCGATCGAGTGCTTGGAAAAATGAACGTACAAGGCCGCCGGCAACAGCGTGTGGCCCTCCGAAAATATAAAGTACCCAATACCAGTGTGAAGGGCATCTGTGCGATCAAAAGTGCCCCGGGCAGGTCAACAGGAAAGGCATCGACGAGAGTGTAGGGTCCTCCGCAAATGGGATCCAATGGAAAGAGCCCTAGATCAATGTAGACGGACCCTGAGCATTAAGCGCCTCAGCCCTTTACTTATACGGGCCCCAGGAACAGCGCAGGGCCCTTTGAGCAAGTGGAAAGACCCCGAGACCAATGTGAAGGGCCATGACTGAGCACGGAGAGTACCCCAGCGGATTCAAATATGGGGTCCCGGGCTGGGCTCGTACGCTCTAGAGTGTACGAGCCTTTTGGGCAAATGGGAAAGCTCTGTGGAGGGCCCCCTAATCATTCAAGGGTGCCCCCGGGAGGTCAGCATCTAGGGCGCCGACAACATCGTAGGGCCTTTCAAGCCAGTGTAAGAAATGGAGCGCAACGTGGGAGGCTCCTTAGCGATCAGATTGACCTGACAGGAAGGCATAAGGGATTATGGCAGCCGCGCAGAGCCTTTGGACAGCATGATAACCGCAACAACCACACGCTCAATCAGCGAATAATCATTTTGTTCTGCTCACGGGCCATTATTTCCGCTTGTGACTATTCTTGGTCGCCTGCAGGCAAAAAGACGTCCAATCTTAATGCGTTTCATGTTTAAAAAACCGCTTGCGTTGGGTCAGTTATGGGCCGCATCGGGGCCCAAAGGGGCGAGACATAACCACGTGCCCCCCCCCCCCCCCTCCGGAACCGCCACTGCAGTGGTCTACGTGTGCGCCCTCAAAAGCCAATGCTTACCACTGGCTACTGGTCTGCGCCCACTATAGCCAATGCTTGCTTGAAAACGTTACCACCTTCCGGCATAATGAAGCCCAGTTGAGATCAGAAAAAGAACTCACAACTCATTATACGGAACACCATGTCCAAAATCAGTCCAACACGTCCATTGTTCCATTATCCCATTTCCGCCGATATTTCATACTTCATTGACGACAGACCCGACATTTATTGCCCAAATAATGTCATTCCGGAGACAATATACTCGCAACCGCACTGACCATTCGATACTACAGTGCGCGGCGATCAGTGACATGACAGTTGTGCCTGAGCGTTGTACCGGCATATGTACGTGGATGTACCACACACGACAGAAAAAAAACAGAACAAGCATAAATGACTAGGAGTTTGTTCAAAGCACACTTAACCCAAGTACTGTTCAGGTATTTTGGAACATTTGTCGATTCGATCTAACACTGCCACGCCATGATTACAAGGTTGCATTTGGCTTGTGACCCTAATTAGTGTTAAAAGTTAGCTAGCGTTTTTATATTGCTTCGCATTATACAACAGGACCACGAGAGCACAGGTAGCGAAAGTGGCTTTGGCGACCTGGAAGAAAAAGCAAACGAATACGTCAATCACGAGCGCACACAGATGCATCGAAAGCCCATGTCAGCTCCAGAGGCTGACAAAATACCCGCACGCCAGGCTGGTACGTTAAATCCACCACTACAAACATATGTACAGGACACGTCAAACCACGGCGCCCAGTGGCCCTTCCCGGTGGTATAGCGTTTAAATTGCCGATTTCGGCCCGCGGCGAGTAGCATACGAGGTAGATTTGGGGCGCGGTAGCTGCGCGGATTCGAAACCCAACTAAGGCGGCTCATTTCCGCGACAAGCAGCAGAAGGTTTTACCACTGGTCGGTTCTGTCATAAGCCGACACAGCTGCACCAAACGTTAAAATTGCTACAATGGCTTTTGGACAGCGAGCTGGGGCAAAATCATCCCACAGATCCCACCACTTGGGTGGACAGGAGCCAGTGCTCACGCAACCAGTCCTGAAGACTGGATTTTCAGAACTGTCATCTTTCACAAAACATTTTGAATTTTCAGTTTTAAACAGTCATTAAAAATATAGTTCTGATTTCCCATCGCGGATGGCTCGAATTTTCCAGCGAATTCGGTGCTCATCGGGAGTTCAACGAAATTATTTCGATCTCCCTCGAACCTTTCACTGAGGCGGTTTTTAAGAGGACTGCACGCAACAAGCTATGCACACCGGGAACTCTAAAATCCCAACGCCACTCGAGTAAAACTCATATAATTTGATCCACGAAATAAATCTAAAACTGGTTTCAGTGGCCTCACACCCCTTTATTGTTCTAAATCTTTGAATGAGCCGATGATAGCATGAACAATCGTAAAGACCAGAACAGTTAGTCGAAAAACAACCTACGTTAGCTCGCCCCGTGTGCGTGGAGCTGTTGAAGTTCCTCGAGAGGTTGTTTATCATAGTGCCTCTGTTTGCTGCCATGACCTGAAACAACGGACGTAACTTAATAGTGGGAGACTGCCGAAATGTCAACGTTCAGCCATCGTGCCGTATTGAGTGAGGCTTTGTCAAATATCTAGAAGAAACAGGTTACAACTTAGCTATTTAAAATTCCGGCATCATGTCAATCATCAGCATCGTTACGGATAAGCATCATGCATATAGCCTAATCCCATTCCATTCCATGCATCCTGTATAATTCCAACCTCATGGTTCAAAGACCTCAGGGCCTCTAAGGCCCTCTCGGCCGGCCACGGCTAAAGCACAGATTGGCAGCGGTTCCTCTCGCAAGCAAGCAAATTCGTTATAGCGGAGACTGCTGCCTTTCGGCCGGCGTACTCCATCCACATCCTGCTGCGAAGTCAGACAGCGGTACGCTTCGTGGCGCGGTCGGCTTGACCCGCTCAGGCCTGTCGTAACGCTGCGGCATCCACACCGTGTGTCCCAGCGACACATCCGAGGTGCCCCCAGCGTCCTCACTCCCGTGACACTCCATTAAAATAGATCATGATAAGGCGTGCTCTCTGCTGCAAGGGCAGGGCAGGCGGTAGTCTGTGCTGAATCACTACGTCATTATCATGACGCATGCCTGTGCACATGCAGGAGAGGGGGGGGGGGGAGTCAACATGTGCGCAAGCTTCACCGCCAAAACTGAAGCTAAGACCTAAATGAAACCATACGGCTTCTCAAATTGTGTCGAAAAGCATGCCGTCTACAGATACCAGAAGCCAGCCACAGATGAGGTGAAGGTAAAGAGCAGATAAAGAAAGGCCGGCAGGTAACGCACATTCAATCCCTCCCTTGCGCGTGTCATGCAGACCAGAGCCCATTCTCCATTGGCGGAGGCCCTATCTGAGTTGCTACTTTTGACGTCGTAAGCACCTTCGTCATACACAAGGGACTGTCCTCCAAGCCGTAGGAACTGTTGTGACGCACTTACTTCTGATGTCATAGGTTGCAACTTGTGGGTGGGGTTTGGTAATGGGGAACGCGGTCCGTGCGTACTCCGCCTGGTGCAGACTATTGCCCCACGGGGTAAGAAGAAGATCTCAGGGAAATGGCCATGAAGCCTAATCATGTCCATGGCAAGAATGGCCTCCATCCAGGCAGTGCTAACAACTAATCGCTGACTGGAAGAGGGCGTTGCCACATGCACTAAATGCACGACATGCACCGAGTCGCAAACGTCTGCTTGCGTAGTCAAAAAACAAAACAAAAAACAAAAACAGGGGAGTGTCTCCATTAAAATGGAATTTTCAAGCAGCATTTTCAAGAATTTTCAAGTGAGATACTGAGAGTTCGATTAGGTGGTGTGATTGCGTAAGCTAGTGTACAAAACACTTCTCTGCACCTATCACACGCTTATACGATATCGTTCACATCGAGTGATAAGAACACGCATCGTTACTTTAAAGGAAGTGTTCCCCTTTGAGCATACTTCAAAAACACTCCAGTCAGACATCCGGAACAGCTACGTGTAATAATAACTCTGGGTAGTGCCACTACAGAACCGTCAAGACGCAATAAAGACATCCATTTTAATTGTTTTCTAGTCCAAAATACGCTACCAACGCTTTGTAACAGCATTATATTTCTTCACTACAGTCGCGACCATCGTTGTCATGACAACGGCCGTGCACACCTGTATCGGTGGGAATAAAAGAACGAAAACAACATTTATGATTGGCCCAGCCAACAAGGAAATTTCGAAGTTTGAACCAGTGCGTGACGTGGATCATGCGATGCTCTTATCCCCAAAGCCAAAGAGCACCACGAAAGGAGCCACTGTGATAAGCGCCACATTGGCTCTTTTGTAGGGGAGGCCGTTGCTAGGCCCAGTGTACGGTACGCTGGTAGCTTACAATGTCTGGGGCAATTTAACTCATGACATATATATATATATATATATATATATATATATATGTATCGATAGAAATCGAAATTCACCATGAGGCCCGGAAACGGCCAGAGTCACTCATTCGCCCGGCTTTTCCTTTGCGAAGAAAAGATACAGTACGACTTCACAATATGCATGACGTAACGCAGCTTATTCCTATGGCCCGAACCTGACCGAATCCACATGCCCATACTGGACCAACTCAAAATCGTAAAACGTATGCAGAGGCCATGTCGTGCTACCGGACTATCAGATCCGGTAAGCCTGCCCAAAGCGGTAAGCTCAGACTACGGCTGGCAAGGCGTATCAACTACGAACGCAACATAGGGATTTTCACCCTAGTTTACAGATTTGTTGGTTCGCAAAAGATCCGGACAGTCAAAATGCCGTATCGCAATGGATCTGTCAGACTACTATAACCGTAACCAGTGCAGCAACCATTCTACCGGCTACCGCGGTTACTGCCGGCATATGCAGCCCCTCTGCCAGGTGTAACCACCACGAGCGTGCCGAGTATTGTCCGAGTTCCTCAACCGAAGAGCGCCCCTGCCAGCCTATCGTGTACCGCTGTAATCTGCCTGCCGGACACCATCACTACCAGTCTGCCGGGTACTACCGTGGCCCAGCTGCCGGGTACGGAAGTGGCCCATCCGCCGGGTATCGCCATGGCCCCTCTGCTGGGTACTGCCGTGGCCCATCTGCCGGTTAACACCGTGGCCCAATGGCCAGGTACCGGAGTGGCTCATCTACCGGGCACCGCCGTGACGCCTCTGTCGGGTACTTCACGCGAGTTGTCTTGGTTCACCGACACCACGTCTTTATTGTTTATTGTCAACCGGGAAGCATTTGGCAGATTCCTCAGCTAGAGCAGAGGCAGATTCATCCAACTTCTCAGCTATGTCAAACTCAGATCATACCGCGGCTCCCCACTTTCACATTTCAATCGCTTCCAGTTTCAATGTGTGATTTGTACGCTCCTCTTCCAAACTCACTGATGTGAGTTGAGTTGTTCTGGTTTAAATATACATTTCTTTATTGTTTACCAGGCATCATTCGGCCCATTTCCCAGGGACAAATGACGTCAGTGGTAGTCAATATGCTTTGCTGTGTGGAACTAAGATAACGCGATTACTAAGATTCTCGCGAAGCTCTCCCTCTTTCGTTCTGTCGTTACTTTCAGGCCCAATGTTGCGCTGTGCTTCGGAGCCATACTGGCCAGAATGACGGCCATCTGGGGCTGCCTGCACCAGACACTGACCATCCAAACCTGCCTGCACCGGACACTGGCCATCCAAATCTGCCTGCACCAGACACTGACCATCCAGACCTGCCTGCACCGGGCACTGATCATCCAGACCAGTCTACACCGGGCATCGGTCATCTGGAACTATCTTCGTCGGACACAGTCCATACAAAGGTAAAGAAAAGACAACGGGCAAGAGCGCCTTCACATAGAAAGACAGTGTCTGACCCAGGCATCCGACGCTGCCAGGGGCACTCGCTGGCAGCTTATGGGCGCGTTTGGCGGGAACATGATCCCGCACAATTATCCGGAACGTTAAGAAAATTTTCCAGATTTGCGTTCGACACTACTGACACGGGAAAGTTTCCCAGATAATTTTACGTAACAAGGGAGAATCCCGGAAAATTTGCCAGGCATAACCAAGATGGATAATCTTTTTTCGCTATGCATTTTCGCTTTTATCCAGGCACACAACTGATAACATTCATATACTTCATTCACGCCACAAAGAAAACATTTTGACCAGCAGGTTGATCAATTCGGTGATGATCCAGCACAAGACACTCTGAGTCTCCAACAGAAAAACTATGGCTGCGTTTTTCTTTTGAACCAGTCTACATGTGCTGGTACAACAGGTCCCCACTTAACTCATTTATTTATCAGGGTCAATGCATGCAGTGCAGTAGATAATGTCCAGCTGTCATTATCATGCCAACCTAATGCTCTATTATCTAACACTAATAAGGGACAGGCCAGGCCTAGGTGAGGTAAGCTGGGGTAAAAAGAATGTACCTGATAATAAAAGATGGTGTGGCGGATTGCCTCTTGCAGATTTCTATCCGAAAACTGTGCCACAAAGAAGCAGAGAATCTGACAAGCTGGGGAGTCAGTCATATGCTGCTGACTGCAAGTCAGGAGTGCCTCTATTTCTGAAATAGCACAGAAAGTATACAGCTATTCTTCCTAAATAGAACTAGTCATAGCAAATGTGTAAAAATAGATTTAAAACCCAATTTCGCATTTCAACTAGCATGTTGACATAACCCAGTTGTTCTAAGAGGTTTTACTGGATTTCCATGTGGCATCCATATAATCTGGAAGGATATGAAGTTAGTATTATGAGATCATACTAGTTTACCAAAAACAGGCTAACATGTTTTCTGCTTATGTAAATTGGATTTCTAATTCTATAATTGTGTAGGTAAACACAGGACCTGGTTAAGAGGCACTGACTTGCTACAACAAATTCACTGAGTGATCAGCTCTACAAAAAAAATTGGTCACAGTAAAAAAGACAGGCATATCCTTTGTTGTTCAATGTTCTCCTCAATATTATTTGAATGGAAAGCAACACATACCAATGCACTAAGTTCAATGACTTACTGCTCAATGCAGGGACACCAATTTTTATTATGTTGTGGGGATCCTGTCACTTGTTAATTTTGGCCCCAAATGTTCACTCCTCCAATGTTGAGAAAAAAGGGTAAAATCCTATACCACATAAAGCCTGAGTTTCATGGACGTCATTTGGTGACCATGACTACTACTCTGCTGCAATACAGACCATTTTCTGCATACAATTAATCAAATCACATTATTTTGTCAATATATATCCTTGCAAGCCAGATCAAACAACCAAAGAAGCAGCTCCAACTTGGAATAAGTGCACACAATTCAGTGGGTATCCTGCATTTTACCTAATGATGATTTTACCTTATTACCTAACCTAATGATGAATGTACCCAGCAAGATACCACCCAACAACAAATTGACAACCACATTTACCAAATAGAGAAATTGTGCAGGCTAGAGCAATCTGTTCCCTTTTACATAAACCAACAGTCAGAAGTGAGCTTAGTTCATCATATCTGATGTGTGCTTCAAGAACATCTTCAAGTGAAGATAATTCCCTTTATTAGACAAACCCCAGTCAAGGCAAAACCTCACCAACACCATGAAAAAAGAACATCGCTGTTGATTGAGGATGAGGGGTTTAGGTAGTTTTAGACATTTTATAGCTTTAGATATTAGACTTTACATATCAAAAAAATGCCTAAATCCCTCATCCTCAATCAACAGCAATGTTCTTTTTTCATGGTGTTGATGAAGTCGTTGGCGCGCTGAGACTGGTGCCTCAGAAAGACAGAACTGGTGACTCACAAAACTGCCTTATATAAGAATGAAAATGGGACAAAAGATTCTCTCACAGAGGGAGGGGTTATCGTCCATATTGGTACCTGAAATTACCAATGTGGATAACACCTGCCTACCAACAAGATGGGAGAACATCCGTACCTGAGAAAATGCGTGGCTGACAATCACGTACCTGCCTCCACCACCCTTATACCCGGAGGAATGGAGTACACCAATCCAATGTACCTGTTGTGTAACACAGATATAACAATGCCTCAGCTGCGCCAGAAATGAGTCTTACGCCAACAGCTGGTAACTGTCGGTAACTAATTTATGAAACCAGGCTCGTTAAACATGCCGACTCGTTGGATAATGTTGGAGACAAAGTGTACATTTTCATTCCGTTCTTGGCTCCCAATGTTTACCATAATGAAGTTCCGTCACATCGGTAGGATTCCATTGCTATAAGTAGTCGCACGGTGCTACTATGACTCCAAAAGACCGCTCGTCGATGTTTCCCCGCACTGACCGATCACACTGAGTTTCTTGCGACGCCAGAGCCTAACGTCGGGGTAAGAAATGATTGGATCACCTCGTGCCTGCAACGTAGGGACATTTGTCACTTTTTCAAGGAAAGGTGGAAACTGGTGTTGAATCGTAGTATCCGTATAACCGCAATATCTTTGACTACCCAGGCACGGCTGCTATTTTCGCACACACCACAAATGACTATCGTGTGTCATCACCACTTCCGCCGTCGTGCTTCTGCAGTAGCTTTAGATGTACTTTGATGATCCGTCCTCAGAAGACGAGACCTCGACTGGACGCTTATAGGACGGTGAAAGACTAATCAGCGTACCGTAAAGGAGGGCCACCGGGCACAAACGCTTACGGCGGTGGTATTTTAGCTGCCCGCCGCAGCGTGCTCTAGGCCGTAGGAGCCGTAGAGTGCATGTTAATCACAGACCTTTCACGATGTATTCCGTATATATGCCGCCCGGAGATGCGTTCTCGCAGCTGAATTCAGCCGAACTTGGAATGAGATCGAGTACGATATGACGTACACCGCGTTGCTGTACTCGCTCCGTGTCCAAACGACGCTGACATGAAATATGCTGTCTACAAAAAATAAGTCTGTTCTTATGTTTGTCTGTTGGTTTTTCTTTTTCTTGCTCCCTTGTGTGTGTTCAAGTCCGGCCCTCCTAATCGACCAGGGAGATCTGGTCAACGTAGGTCAAATTAAATAAAATGTGCCAAATCTGGTAATTTTTCGCGGTTCCCTTCCACTAGGAGCCCTCTTTCAACCTGTGTGGCGCCTCTACCACTTCTTACCAAAGCTTTGGAATCTCCCCTGGCATAAGATAGATTGTGGGATCTGAGATAGGCTTTTCTCGGGCTTTCGTGTTTGGATGGCCCCTTTTCGGGCCTGAGATGCCCGCTTTCTCAGCCTAAAGTATTTCATTTCATGAATTAAGAATGGCCCTATTGATGGCACACAATAAATGCAACTCTTTCCCAAATCCGCCTGGGACCCCACTTGAGCCACCTGAAATCTGGGGAAAAGATAGTTCTGGTCCTTGCCTCCTACATGGGGACAGATTGACCCGCGGTCACACCGCCACTGGCTCTTTGAGCCAATGATGGGCCCATTCCAGATCAGAGATGGACGCTCCCCGCAAAGATGCGTCGCATAATTTATATCCCTAACTGATTCTGAATAAAGGTTGAACATTTCCAGACGAGCATGAAATGGCCATGTTGATATAAATTGTTGACCTCATTTTTATTTACAATATGTGTCCACTGGGCACTTAATATTGTAGACCATAGAACAAATTATCGTAATGCCTTTAAATCTATCGGTTCTGAAAGGCTATAATGAATCATTGTTAAAAGAATGCTGTCGGCGTGTTATTCAATGCAACCATTCGATACCCGCTTCCCTCAGTTTATTGACTTCAAAATACAAATAGAATTGCATGTCCCGCTAGCTTTTGGCTTCTGTTCTAGCTAAATAAGGTGAAAATGGAGATAACACAGCGAAAATCGTGCCCCCTCGTTTGAAATAAAATGGTTCATGTCCGGTAAAGTTTTTTTCTGGGGGGGGGGGGGGGTAGCCTCTTACCATCAGAAGGCCCCTTGTCAACCCTGTGCCCCCCCTTACCAAGGGTCTGTCTGCGTCCCTGGTTCAGCCGCATCAAATATTTTTGCCATCAACGAATCAGCACTGATCGGCCGAACCCTGCTTATGATGCCTATCCTTTTTCTGCACCGGCAACGTAACAGCTCATGAACTTTAAACTGTTTTTCCTCGTCCAGTACAACAAACAATCAATGCCAATGCCATAGCGATTGGTGGCATGTCATCCCACCTATGTACCCATCGCTCCCAACATTCAGATGTTTATCAGCCGCCGCCAAATGTCAAGCGTGCGACTCCGACAATATGGTACACATTGCAGGTTGAAAGGTATTCACGATACTCTTAGTGATGACTGCCATGCTTGACAAAAACGCTCTGTTTCATAACGCAAGGATGATTCTTCATGCGATGCCATGCTTTGTGTTATGTAAGCCGTCTGGGAAAATATCCAGTATAAAAAATGAATATATCAATGTAA